TGGCTCTCTACCAAAATGTTGGTTTTGCCTTCACACTTGAAAGAGGTGTTCACAATTTTATCTTTATCTTTTAAAATATAATGTATAGACAAATTTTAAGTTTAAAACTTAGTTCTAACACACATATCCTTAACTAGCGCATTTATAGTTTCACCCATTAAAAAACAAAGGAGAAGTTTGAGCACAGATTATTTTTATTTTGACTTGAAATTTCAGAATGTGACCTTACCAAGGTGAAGAAGGGAACTGGAGTCTGATGTTCAACATTTTGACTCTGCAGAAGAGGTTTTTTCTTGCAAGTAGCCATGAGAGTAGGAAGTTAGAAGGCAGAGCCAGGAGGTCAGACATAAGAGTCAAGGAAGTATGAATGACATCATCATCCCTAAGTACCCTTTCAGAAGATGAATGAGCTCTCTCTTGTATTACAATGCTAAAGAGCATTAGAAGGTGATATGATATCTAGACAACACATAAGATAAATGCCTCAGAGTATGCTAGAACAGCTTCCCCCCCACGCCCTCCACAAGTACATAAATCCTTTGGGGTGGTCTCAATAATACAATATGTGGCTGATGAGTATTATATATTGTGGTCAGCTTCGTCTTGACAAAATTCATTTAGATTTAACAAGTACCTTGAACATTATCTAATTTAGTTACTTAAGCCAAATAACTCAGTGTAATTCTAGATACCCTTTAGCTCACTAGACTCACAGCCCTTCTGGGACACAGAGGGGATTTTTTTCACTAGTTGCTGAATAAAAAGTAAGAAGATGTCAACAGAAGAAATATCCCATCTTTTTTAAAGCTGGCAGAAAATGTGTTTATCATGATAAAACTTGACACAAAATGTTTTCGTCATGTTAAAACTTGAAATGCAAGTTTTGTGATCTTAATTCCTTCCTTCTGAAGGAATGCATGCCACAAACGACACATGCAGATTTGCTGTAATGTTGGTTCAAGGTACCTGCTGTCAGAAGTGGATTCAATCTGAATTTCAGTCTTTGTGCTTCAAAAGCACAGTTGTTCTGGTATGATTTATATAATCTTTCCTACAGTAATTTTGGAATATGCAAAGTTGCAGCAGACTTCACTACCCAGCCTCCTCTTCTGCTTATGTAAACATCCCTTAGTATTTTCAAGAGAAAAATTTGATTTAAATATCTAATTACATTCCTGTTTCAAAAATTAAAAAAGTAAAAATCCCTCAGTAGAAAATCAGGTTCAGTTTGGAAGAAAAATGGCCTCTGGATCTGTGGTGTGTTGCTGCATGGAGGGCAGAGTTCTGATGCATCATATTTAATCACTAAAGTAATCTTTCCTCTTTTCAATATTTGATCAGTTGTTATTTTTATAGAAATAAAATGAAGCTCATTTGAAATAAAATGCAAGACAAGAAGACCCTCACTTTAGCTCTAACTAAATGCTGTAAAGTCCTTTATTTTAAACCGAAAGCTGTCAGACTTTTAGCATTAATAGAAGAGTGGATCTTTCTTGACAAATGCCCCCATAAATTAGATATTAGCTTTAGTCAAACTCTGTCTCTCTCAGGAAATATTTCCACTTGCATATTCAATTGGAAGGACCTTACATGATGCCCACTTACTGCTATGAAAATCTAGGCTTCCGAGATGAAGGCAAAGAAAAATTTCTGTGAACAAAGGAGTATCTGGAATAACAGACCTTGAGCTTATGCAGAGATTTCTTTTTATGGAACGTGAGTTTCACTCACTTTTTGATGTCTGTCTGCTGCTCTGTCCAGCTATCTATCTGTTTATCTATCACCATTGCAGTGGTAACATGCAGTATCAATTGGATTTGAAAAGACATAGATCTTTTATATTAGCTGTCCTTTTTTATAATACCTTTTACAAATTTAATCAATGCATTTTAATATACAATATAGTTTAAGTGCAATATACAATAAATATTCAAGCTTCATCTTAAACATGCTCTAGCCTTTAAATTGTTAAAACTGCAGTGCCCTTTCAATCTACTTACATAATGTCATAAAATATACATTTCAAGGTAAATGAAGTCAGCTACTTCAATTTAGTCCCTCAAACTCGTAGTAAATGAGAGGTTAACACTATGGTGCCAAACCCATTATTGAGTAAATTTAGCACCTTGGACAGCTCTGTAAAATCTTTATTGCTTTCCTGACCTGCTCGTCATGTTCTGTCTATGTGTTCAGTGCCTCTCAGCTCTGATTGAAAGGCAATATATTAGATCCCGAACACAAACATGCTCGGGGGCTGCTTCACTGTGAGCGTAATGACATGGAGGTGAGAACAATTTTCTGGTCACCGCAATCCAAGCACCTTGCAAGGTCTGTTGCTCTAACTTATAGAGGACTTTGGGGGCTCCTTTGTATGTAGAGTCGTAACAGTAGCTTCTGTGGTAATTTAAGCAGAGCTGCAAAGGGTTTAAGGCGCAGTCAGAAAACAAGAAGTTAATGTCTTGAGCATGTCTGTCGTAGCATTTTACTGTGTATTTTTAAAGCTAGTTTGTGTCTATAGGAGCTACCGTCAGCTCTTCAGTAGAAGATACCACTACTTGACACAGGAGTTTTTGTGTAACATCTACTTTGTATGATCTGAAAATGTCATAAACAAGAAATGCTTTTATTGTGTGAAAATATTGTTAGAGAAAGTATGAAACTCAAATTTACAGTCTCTGAAAATGTTGAAAAAATATAACTATTGACTAGCTAGGAAATTTGAATGCTACTTGTCAAGCATATTTCAATAAAAGATCACGACAATTAGTTTTATTTATATGCAATTTGATATGGCATCAAAGAACTTCCGATGTTTAAGAACTGGAATTTATTTGATATTAGGTAGAGTGGCTGTAAGATTCCATGTAATTACCTCATTTTTTAACATGGTCTTCAAACTCTTTTTAGATGCATTCTAAGGTTTTTAGCTCAGCATTACATAAATAACTATGATTAGTCAGGTAGAGCAGAAATGACTATTTAAACTTTCTTTTTTTTTTTTTTTTAGTAATTTGGCATAATGACAACTTAGGTTAACAGTATTCCAAAGCACTCTGTGGGCTCTGTATCACATTCTAATTTTCCATCAGTGAAATATATAGTGCAAACAATTTCTACTGAAGTGAAATAAATCCTAGTTTGCAAAGTCAAACACCTGTGCAGTAATTTTCCACCTAAAATCATGGATTGAAAAAGATAACATTTTCCAGTAACATCTCTGTTCTTCTCTAGTTTGTACCTTCAGTATGAAGCAAAAAGGGCAACTCAGTGTTCTGATGATTCTGGTAAAGCAACAAGGATTGATCGTACCTCAATGTTGTTTGTAGTCTGTCCGTCCATGATTATACGGCTAACTGTTGTGGTCAAGGTACACAAAAATAAACCCCAAACAATAACCACAACAGAAAGAAAAAAAGAAAAAAAAAGAAACCAAACAAAAAAACAGAAATAAGCTGTATCAGCTTAACTCCTCAGAATCTGTTTCAAATGTAGTGATTTAAAAATCCATCAATTATATATTACATCTCAGTTCCTATATGGAAAATCATTTAAATGTGTGTTCTGAGAGAGGGGTGTGTGCAGCAGAAGGCAAACCTAAATGTTTACTGGGAGTACAAAAATCCTCCATCTCATTTTTGAATTTAGGACATTATATATGTCATAAGTAGTTACTGCAGTATGACAACTATTTTATCTTATATTATAGAGAATTTAAAATTGAAAAAAATGCTAATATGCATCTAAAAGCTTGTCATTTGAAGAGTTGTTCAAGGATTTTTGAAGAGGTTATGGTGACAGCAAAATGAACGCAATTATATCTCTATTTTCTGATCAGAGTCTACAGTATATGAAAATTGAGCATTACTGTTTCTTTTTGGTATAAAATATGGCTATTGTGTAAAATATTTTAAGTTAAAAAGTTTAACTTTGTAGAAAACTGTAAAATCCTTAGAACTATTTTTGTGAGCTACTTGCAGAAATATACCGTGGTGAATAGCATTTTGTTAGTATATTTGAGCAATACTTAGGGGCTGGGAATTGCAAAAATATATTGTTTTACTCAAAGGAGAGTCTTGACTGGTTTTGATCAGCCAATTGGGAATCTGCTAGATGCTTTGAAAGAATAAGAAAAAAAAATTATTCTAGGTTAATTCTGCAATGCATTTTTACATTTTCTATCAGGATAGTTCATAGAGATTTTTCCACACTGTAAAATGTAAGAACACAGGAAATGCTATCATTAATTGAATGCCAGTTTAAAATACTCTAAGAAATATTAAGTTAAAAAGAACATATAGGAAAATGGAAAAAAAAAAAATTCCCCAAATGGAGAACTAAATCCCAGATTGTTTTAAATTCTGCTGTCCATGCAGGGAATGTTTCCAGGAAACACTGCACCATACTGGGCCATTCTTTCATACAGCATGTGTTTTCCTCTTGTGCATCATTTTATGTACATGGATCCTACCCTGACCCACCATATCAGGATACAAACCAGAGAAGTTGAAAGGTTACATTACCAGTAGCATAGGACTGATTGGATATCTTTTGAATGTGGCCTGCTGGGTAAGGTCACAATTCCTGCAGTATGCAATTAAGAATAAAATAAACACATTGAAGGGATTCATAACATGCTATGAATGACATTGATTGCAGTAATCTTTTAAATGACCTCAGGATTGTATTCTGCAATAAACCAATGAGTGGTTTATAGTGCAGATGGTAGAGACAATTGAGTGATGTATTTTATTTTGCAGCACCAATGATTCTCACCTTTTGACTTGATTAAGCGTGTGTGTGAATAGGATGAACTAGTGATTTAACACCATTCAGTGGTTGCTGAGAGTTGTTACAATTAAGGTGTACCTGGTGGGAGCTAAACCCCCCCCCCCACAAAACACGGTGCAACTAATGGAAGAGTATAAAAGATTCTAATATTTGTTTTTCCCCACAAGGAGTTTATTGAACTCAGAGGAATGCATCTGTTTTTATATTGACAGGAAGTAATACTTAAGAGGGCTGCTGATTTAGTAGAAGCACTCTACGGTATGCCACATAATAACCAGGTAAATGCATTCTACTTCAGCAATTCTAAAACATGGCTATTTCTCAGATGTATAGATAGATCAGGGGCTAAAGGTATGTGATACTACAATGTGAGACAAGAATAAATATAGAGGGCAATGTCATACCTGGAGTGGGGTTTAGTTTGCTTGTTTTCTTTTGTAAAGGGTGTGAATTTAGTGCTTGTAAAAGCAACGTGTTATTAACCCTCGAGGCATTTGCCCACTTTCACCAGATACTATATAATATGGGCAATGGTATGCATTATGCCTTGCCACCAGTGATTTTTCAATCTTACCCTAAAGATAGCTTTTAAGGTAGAGTAAGTCTAGGCTCCAGCCCCATTCTCCCAGTTGGTCTTGTTATACAGAAGCGTGGCCGCTGGGACTGAAACTTCCAACTCTCTTACCACAGATGTCAGGATTTATCATGAAGACAGCAGATCTTATAAGCATTAGCTATCAGTCAGCCAACGGGTTTAGAAAGACAAGCATCTCGTTTTTGCCTTTGGACAGGGAAATATTTCATTTTAGTATGTAAGAAAAGGTTTGTTAGAGCCACATTGGTAACTCTTTTATTCCTTTTTTCCCTTCTTATCCTCTAGGAAATAATCCTGAAAAGAGCAGCAGACATCGCAGAAGCACTCTACAGTGTCCCCCGCAATCACAACCAGCTCCCCGCCCTTGCTAACACGTCAGTCCATGCAGGAATGATGGGAGTGAATTCCTTTAGCGGTCAACTAGCTGTCAATGTTTCCGAAGCCTCACAAGCCACCAATCAGGGTCAGGAGAAGACTCGTCTTCCTCTCTCTATGAAACTTTTCTGATAGAAGTCAGGGAAACGTGCAGAGCAGTGGAAGAGTGCTAGGAGCACGCCTAGACAGACACCAGCCCACACGCAAGCACAACCTTTGAATGACACAATACTGTCATGGGATGGGCCTTGCTTTAGTGACTTTTGCCCCAATTTGGGAAAACCACTTCTGCATATAGCTAAACAGCTTTTCCTTCTGCTCAGGATAACACTTGTATTTGTGTTTAAATCCCACTAATTTTAAAAGGATTTCTATGGGCTTGAGCATGTGCTTAATGTTAAGTACTGGCTTATATATTTTCCTAAGCAAGGATGATCTCTCAGTCTGGGGCCTATGTCGCATTTCTTTATAACACAAAAGCATCCCTTGAATATTTGTCTGTTTGGTTTGGTTTTGCAAGAGACATAATATTGGCACTGATTTTTTTCAGAGTTTGAGATTTCTCTAAATTTTGAAACTAGCAAAAAACAGAAATATTTACAAAGACACTTTCAGAGCTTCTCTGATTTTTAAAATAAAGTGTTTTTCACTTTGTATAAAATCAATATTGTTTCAATTCCTACAGTTAAAAATAAAAAAAAGTTATGAACATTTTTGTAAAAACCCTTTGCATTTTCCCCTCTCCTTGTCTCAGCTCCATTTATCATCCAACTTAAAAATCCACTTTAATGAGAAAGTATTAGAATGCGGCTGTTTTCTAGAAGGGCAGACAAAATTATTTTGCGTTACACTTAAAAAATAGCAATGATTTTTAGATTAAAATATTTTATGGATGTACTGTGTGGTAGGAAGAAAAGTTGGCATTTTTTTCTTCTAGGACTGAAGATGTGTTTTGTATTTCTATGCTTCTAGAAACACATCTTCTTTTTGGATATTTGGATATGAGTTTCCCCAAACGTCATTTCCAGAATTAGGTAGAGATTTAAATTTTAACTTGGTGCCAAATTCGATAGTAATTTTCTGCCAATATAATGATAGCACCAGGGCAAAAAGACTAAGGATATCCCACTACTTTGAGAAATATAGCCTACATTTTCTGAAGTGTGCAGTGAGCATCTAATTTGAGATGCGTTAAATGAGAGCGACATCAGAAGAGAGTTAACAGAAATCACATGCTTTTAACATACCTTAAGTCAGGATGTACTCCTCACTTTGAAAATGTAGGTCATGTTTATTCCATTTCCTACAAACAGCTCTGTTAGAGTGAGTGTTCCTGTAATACCCAATGGTAATCTTTGCTTGAGGGCATGGGTTGCCTGAGGAGCTGCGAAGGCTGCAGCCTCCCTCCTCCCGCTTTGTGCTCCCATCAGCGATGACCTGGGCAGCGAGGGTTCACAATTTGGGTTAGCTGGTGGTAGTGGTGGTCAGTCCTGGCCCTCCCCGAGCACACCATGGCTGGACTAGGTAGCCCAGACTTACTGGCTTGTAGCTGTTTGTGTAAGAGACTGTTCTCGGGCTAACACCAATTTCTAAATGTATTCCCTCCCCACAAAAGGTTTTACTCGCAACTCAAGCAGCGTGTCACCTCATGGCTATGTGCCAAGCACCACCCCTCAGCAGACAAATTATAACTCTGTCACAACAAGCATGAATGGCTATGGGAATGCTGGAATGTCAAATTTAGGCGGTTCTCCAACCTTCCTGAATGGATCTGCTGCCAATTCTCCCTATGCCAGTGAGTACTATATGGCTTTTCTGTGTTTTGCACATTTTCATTAGAAGGAGATGGTGACTTTTCTGTGATACTCGATATCTCGTTTCTATTTTGAGCACTTGAAACAGAGCTTGGTGCTTTCTCTCCTCTCCAAGGCACTGACATTAGTGACATTCGGAGACATTAGTGTTGCCAGCAGTGCTCTTCTCTGTATTATTATTATTGTTGTTGTTGTTGTTGTTGTTGTTGTTGTTGTTATTTATTTATTTAGGGAGTCTCATAAGAGCTTAAAAAGAATAACGTCTCTTGTGATTTGGGCTGATAGTTTCATAACTTACCTTGTACTCTGTAAATAAAAACCGCTGTCCTCAACATTGCTAGAAAGCAGGGAGGGCATAAGTGACAATGTCCGTTGGAGTGGATCAAAAGTCGGTTGTCAGTACACAACTTTTTGTTGCAGTGGGTATGAAATGAAACTAAGGATATTTGCTGCAGGAAGAATAGTTTTTTCCAGCTGTAAGATATGAAGGGCAGAAAAGTTTACTGTAATAAGGCTGACATTTCCATAAGCTGCATGATGATGTTTCCGAGACCTCTGAGCAAATAATATGTTCATAACCTTTATAGAAATTATGAATTACTATTGGGCCTAATCTTGATTGCTTATACTCCATTTGCTTTGTAAGTAGGTATTACATTGAATTCACTGAGAGCTTAGTATTAGTCAGTGAAATGTGACAATGGCTCTTAGAGTTTGTGTTTTAGTGTCCGTACAGTGAATGCCCCAAAGATGTAAGTCATACAAAGTGTAAAGAGCTTACGGTCTACAGTGCCAGCTGTGGAAATATTTATGTGTAGGACCAACTTTCTGCATTTTGTTATTAAAGGTTTAGTAACCTGTTTAAATATAAATACATTTCTATTGGTAGAGGCCTATGAACCTCTTCTGCAGCTGCTCTCACAGCTCAGAGAGAAAATTAAATGAATAGGACCTGCCCAATTCCTCTGACATTACTCATGTGGCAAAAAAGGATTCCACTGACATCTGTAGAAAGCAGAATCAGGCCGGAAGGTCTTGTCATGTAAATAGGTTTATAGGCTGAGACCCTAGCATGGACAGGATAAACAGACTGCTGGACATACCAAGGTTTAAGCAGCAAATCTTAAGTTTAGTGGTGTAACAGCAGTAATCAATTATTTTGAATTGCATTGCCAGAGTTCAGAATTAAAAAAGGGATAGTAACCTTGATTTTAAAAATTACCTCCAAGGCTTCTTAGCTGCTGCAAATTTAGAAGAAAATATTTACCCACATTACTAGTACTTATAACCTGGGAATTGCTAACCAGTTATTATTTTTGTACTCTAATAATAAAGTAACATGTAATGTTACAAAGTACCTTACTTATTAAGTTGAATTTACTGTCATAGAATCTGCGCACTCTGAATTCATAATATAACATGATTGATGAGACATTTCTTTTTGGAAGCAGATGCCAGTAATGCATTTAAAATACTCTAGCAGTGTATTATTTCATATTTATGAACAAAGTCCTCTTTAGAATAACACTTCACTTCCCAGCCCTGGATCTCTATTCTTGTTATATTTTGGGAGGTTTTCTTGGTAGTTCTGTCATTCTGCTAATGCCTAATCCATTGAATCAGAAAATGCTTCAATCATGACCTGAAAATTAAAAGGTGGCATTCTTAATTAAATCAATAAACTAATTGCTGTATAGTAGCAATTCAATTTAGGTGCTTTGATTGCTCTCCCTTAGCAAGTACTTCCAGACATAGAGTGACTTCAGACTAAGATTGTATCTGTCAGACTGTGAAACTTTGAACAGTTAATTTCCATTAATTGATTTCCTCAGTGTTAACAAATATGATATCAGATTCTCAAATAAGAACTTAAATAGGGTGATTTTTATCTACATAAATGCAAATAAAATAATAATTCAAAGCCCAGATGATAGGAATTTTACTCTATAATACGTAATTATTCATAGCCCCCTGATGTATATAAGCAGTTTCTAAACAGGATGAAGAATGAAAGTATAGGATCTTTTTTTTGTTGGATAAGAGAGGAAACTGGCAATGCTGTCTGAATATAGAATTAGTTGGCTTTGTGTTCATGAAAACAAATTCACTTAAAACCTCAGTGATAAATACATGAACCAAAGGTATTTATCCCACTATATAGTAAAATAACAGTTTAAGGATATATGTGTTTAAAACCTGAACCTCCCGTATAGCAGGTTTGCATTTTGGACAATCAGCTTAGTCCCTAAAAAAAGGAAGCCTTATGTCTACACTTATTTAGAAACACTGAAGACTCTCATTTTCTTCAGTCTTGTAGTTGAAGCCAGATCTTCATTTCATGTGTAGCAGAATGGCTTGGTTGCTTAGCTATTCCAGCTGAGACTCCAGTCGATGGCTCTGAATGAGAATGTTGTATTGACTGTATTCAGATGGTGGTCATAGATCCTCTGGGAGAATTATTTGTCTTGACCATTATAAAACAGATTTTCATTTTCAAAATTCTCTATCTCGGGTGAGATATGAAATACCAGCTCCATTCCTGTGCATAAATAAAATGGTCATGTGAGAAATATGACTGTTTTTCATGTCACTGAGAATTCCTGGGAAGTCCCAGCAGTAGAAACTTTCCCAAAGCTGATGGATACAGGGAAGCTGGAGACTGACTTGGTACTAGTAGTTATGACATGGAAAGCATCTCAGGCCATTGTGAGAAAGGTTTAGTGGTTTCTTCCAATGGGAGATAAAAGAAAAGCATGATTTCTGTCAGTTATCCACTCATTTTTTGTACAACAGATACCAAAAACACTAGTGCTAGGAGACCAAAGGAGTAAAAAACTGTCAGACCAGCCATCTCACTGGTTGCTTCATGCTGGACAGCCTCCATGTATATATATATATATATATATATATATATGTGTATAGATGTATATATACACATGCGCACACACATATCTATATGTCATGGTTTAAGACCAACCAGCAACTAGGCACCACGCAACTGCTTACTCACTCCCCCCCTCCCAGTGGGATGGGGAGGAGAATTGGGAAAAAAAAGTAAAACTTGTGGGTTGAGATAAGAACGATTTAATAACTAAAATAAAATGTAATACTAACACTAATAATAATAATAAAATATCATCATCATAATAATAAAATATCATAATAACAATAATTGTAATGAAAAGGAGTAAAATAAAATAAAATTTAAAAGATAAAACCCAAGAAAAGACAAGTGATGCACAGTGCAGTTGCTCACCACCTGCTGACCCATGCCCGAGCAGTGATCCGCCCCTCCCGGCCAGCTCCCCCCAGTTTATATACCGAGCATGTCATTCTGTGGTATGGAATACCCCTTTGGCTAGTTTGGGTCCTGGCCTGGCCACGCTCCCTCCCAGCTTCTTGTGCACCTGCTTGCTGGCAGAGCATGAGAAACTGAAAAATCCTTAACTTAGGATAAGCGCTACTTAGCGACAACTAAAACATCAGTGTGTTATCAACATTATTCTCACACTAAATCCACAACACACTGTACCAGCCACTAAGAAGAAAATTAACTCTATCCCAGGACAATATATATTCACAGCTTTCAGAATAAGTCCTTTTAAACCCTAGTTCTTGCCGGGTTTGAGAGAGGAAAGAAACCCAACCATTTTTGCTGACTTTTGACGAGCAGGCTGACTGGATCACCACTAGGACCTCTCTACCTTCTGCAAGTTTGCTTGAAACCCCATAGGTCTTTCTGGAGCCATCTTGCTACAAGGAAAGCACGGCTCAAAATGCTGGTTTTGGAAACCAGTTAAAAACTCAAACTTTTCCAAGTTAAAAATTCCAGATCTGGATTTGTACTTTAACCACTCTCCTTGCCCCTCAGTTTTGTAAGGCCTGAGTTACGTACACAGTCTGAATTCCCTCTTATCCACCTACACAAAAACATTACAGATTCGGACTGGGGCAGTGGCTAATGCCAATCGCTAGAAAAGTTTGAAAAAGGATGGCAGGACAAAGTTGTTGTAAGAGTAAAGAGTTGCATTGACAGAGAATTAAGGGCGTGTTTAAGAGCTCCTAGAATTACTCCTCCTGAACACCTGCAAAACAAACAAAACAGCAAGTGGGTTTCCTGTAGTGACTGATCACGCTCTGCGAACAAACAGAAATCTAACTGCAGTAAAGGCCTTGGCCATTTGAAATTAGACCCAGTGCATCCAAGAAGCAGAATTCTCTTGTTTCTGCAGCCTGCTGACTACTAATACTAAGGAATGCCTTTTGGGGGGTCTTTTTTTTTTCTCTAGTTGTGCCATCAAGTCCGACAATGGCCTCCTCCACTAGCCTCCCCTCAAACTGTAGCAGTTCCTCTGGGATTTTCTCCTTCTCACCAGCCAACATGGTCTCAGCGGTGAAACAGAAGAGTGCTTTTGCGCCTGTTGTGAGACCGCAAACTTCGCCTCCTCCCACCTGCACCAGCACCAATGGCAATAGCCTGCAAGGTAGGTGAAACCAAGTCTGGAGCATAGATGGCTGCTCTCAAACCCGTGAGCTCCTAGTGCCTTGCAAGGCTCTAAGCGACACTGAGTTGTCAAAGGGGATAGAAGACAATGGGGGATCCCTGGTGGTCTCTGTCCTAAAGTTTCCTCCCGTAAAGAGTAACTGGACTCCACCACCAGCCCACCTAGTACCATGCAGGTGTTTGGCAACCACACTATCTCTGACTCGACTAATACTGCTGAATTGAGAGGCTATGTCTTTTAAAGCACAGACCTACTGTTATGATAAAAACGAGTAATATTTCAGCTTACTAATACCATCCTTTTTCTTTCTTTCCTCTCTTATTCCCTGTTGTCGTCCTTTATCAGACCAGTCTTTTGTGGACTCTAGCAAGTACTCCACTGCAGGGTCTCTCCAGGGGCTGGCCTTCTCCTGAAGTACGTCACTCAATCTTCCCTTCCTTTTTTCCTTTGTCATAGTACACTTGTGCAGAAATCCTACTGAGAGCAAATAGACCGTTACAGAGCTTGGCGCAAACCTTTGCCTTTCATAAATAGAAGACACATTACAAACTAACAGCAGCATTTTCCCGTTTAACTCGTACCAGGGCAAACATTAGTTTCCACTGATTAATGTACGTCTGTGCCATTAATTCCATAAATGGCGCAGGGCCTTTTTGAAAGCCTCTTCAACTCTTGGTATCAAGTGGCTGCTCCTTTTCTGCATCCCTTCCCCTCTCATTACAAAGTATTCCAGCATCAGCACCTAAATACGTTTTGAAGCGTTGATGCTAAGCCGAGGGAGTGACAGACAAAAGCTTGTCAAACTGAGGATGCCGCAAAGACCAGCACTGCCTATTTCATTGTTTGGTTGAGCCTGTTTTACAACACTGTGCCTAAACCTTCCTGTGTAATTACCTCCCTACGCATTAGAGTGCTGAGAGAGACATTTTCATGCTCGCTTAGACCGAGGAGTTTCTATAAGCAGATGCAGCCAGCTGCCTCCAACTGTGCCAGAGGTGGGAAAGATTTTGCAGTATGCATTGTGCTTCCCCCAGACCTGAGGTCTGTTTTCCTTTCCACGTGCCTGTGCAAATTATCCAAAGAGCATTGAGCAGGGAATAAAATCCGTCATTTTTAAAGCCGTGTTCAGAAGGAGCTGTGCAGAGCGGGGGGAGGATAGTTCCACAGACTCCACGTGTCACTCTACAGCCTCTAGGAAGAGAAACACCAGGCTTGCGGGCATAACGCTGATAGCACCATTAACAGCCAAAAAAATCTATATGCAGGCAGAGTGGAAGGAATTCATTCATAAAAGCTGGGATCTATTGTGACTGAAGGAAAGCATTGTCCTCAGTGCGTTTTACACTGGTGAACAGGAAGGAGGAATCCTTGCAGATGTACACACACGCACACAGAAGTTGTGAAAATACTAGGAACGTATTTCCTACGTTGGGTACCTTTGGTCAGGACTTTGTTATAAATACATACTGCATCAGGAATAAAACACAACAACATTTTCAGATGAGCTGAGGTGTTTAGGAGATTAATTTTTGCGCATTTTTAAAAATTTGGCGCTGCTAACGTGCTACAAATTTTAAAGGCAACGGCTAAAAATATTTCACCTCTTAATTAAAAAAATAAAAAAGGAGCCAAGCGTTGACTGCTAGAAGCTTTTGCACATGGTAATGGTTTTTTTTCTTCTCTTCACCTTGTCCCGACTTGCTGTTCTGGGTAGAGAGAAAAAGCGAGTAACAGAAGGGAGCTTTTTCAAGCACTGTTTTTCCTTTCACAAGACATGGAATTCTCAGATTCCACACACTTGGTTATGAAAAGCAATTATGGAATGAGCTGAGAGCACCGGACATAACTGGGGCTTGCTGATTGCCTCCTCATTATGTCACATCCACATCTGTAATGCCCAGAAACCACACAGATTTGAGTGTTTCCCCTAATTTTTATTTAGCAATTCTGTTTTCCTAATAGGAATGAGACACCAAAAGATGGTTCATTTCTAGGTCATCTCTGAACTTCTGGGTGAGTTAAAGACACAGAGCCCTGAGTCCCATGCCTTCTGACACCACCTGAGGCTTGTAATAATCACTCAGAAATGCACTGCCTGTTGTGCCTTATTGCTTAAATAAACAACCATGTGTAAAGGAGGCTGTCTTATCTCTCCTGGGCTTCTGGATACATCAGAAAGCAATCAAGCTTTCCTTATGTAGCTCAGATATCAGCAGAACTCACTAAAACAACAGCTAGGCTTATCTGTTGTTCTCTTTGCCATGCAATTTTGTAAAACTCAGAATACATTATTTCTGTAATTTGCTAGCAGCAAATACAAATTAGTATATGATAGAAGAAATAATGCCCGTTGGTGGGAGTTTTCCTACTCTTTGCCCTCCCTTTTTGGAGGTGGTGTGATCTCATAGCTACACCGTTTCCCACTGATCTCTCTGTTTTCAGGATCAATAACATGCTACAGCTGAGAGAATTTGCATGACTAGATGTAGCACTTACAGAATAAAAGTACAGCGATATAAATGAAGACTTGGAAAGAATGGAAATATCAAAGCTTTTAAGCAGAAAAGATATCATTTGCCATTTGCCTTGCAATTTAATTCAGAATTTCAGAGCTCTTCAAAAACAATAATGCTTTGGAAAAATGAGCTAAGATCTGCATCTGTACCATTTGTTTCCAATGGCAAAATGTTCATGGCTGATATGTAACTACAGGGTAATGTCTAAGCCATGAAGGGAGGAGTTGCAATTATGTCACCTTTGTTTGGGCTCTTACCCAGGGTAGACAGCTGGGCTGTCCCGAGAGAGATGATTCTTGACCACTTTGTGGTGAAATTGATGTGGTTCTGATGAATCTTTTAGCTTGAGAATTTTTTGTTGGCATAATATTTTGACATTTTCTGAGGTATAGGTAATTTTTCTGAAGCAAAACAGCATCTTGTTTTAAAGTTTCACTAAATTTAGAAAGGGCTGAAAAAGACAAAAAAGGTTGAAGTACTATGCACAGAGGATTAACTATCCATCTGACTCTGCTCACTTGCACTCATCACATATAGGAAGACTACCCGTTCCCATCTGCTCAACTCCTTCCTTATGTGAGCAGTAAAGGAGGGAGCACTGTTCTCAATATTGCTCTTCTCTGCGCTGTAATATATGGCACTGACGTCCAAGCACTGCGGTCCCACCCCTATATTCTGCTAAACAGCTGCCGTCCAGAAATCTCCAAGTTTAATAGGGATAAAAATTGTTATCCTCAGGTAAGAAACAGAAACAAATCAAATTGCTTGAAGTAATACAATGAGCTAGAAGGAGAACTGGGTCAAAACCTGTGTATCAGATCCATGCCCACGTGAGTCTTTCATATATTCAGATGGGGAAAATCACGCTTTCACCCTTAGCTGCAGGTGGCTGCCTTGTAGGGCTGCCACAGCAGAATTACAGTCTGGTAGACTGTATCCATCACTGTCAATACCTATTTTACTGACGCCATAGAGGTCTGTGGTTCAGGGTCTGTACCCTGGCCCATATGTAAGGATCCCAAGAGCAGAGTAGGGAGAAACCACAACAGTGAGAGCATTGCTTGGCTTGGGTTTGCTTCATTTTCAGTCACATGTACGAAGGGGGCAGCCCAATTGTGAGAATTCAGAACTCATTTGAGACACTGCTGAAATAAAACCCTTTGAGAATTTTTTTAAACAAAGCTGCTGTTGTTTCACCCAGTGTTGATTAAATCAGGAAGGATTCCAAAAAAAAGGCAATATCGAATTCGTCCTATGATTTGAGATGAAGGAGACAGCATAGCTATGGAGATAATATGAAAGTGCATCCTCAGATTATCTCCATGGTGGAGCCAAAAAGGCCCATGAGACGAAATACCTCAGCAAGGAACGTCTAAGACACAGTGGTGTCCTCTATGCTACTCACTTGAGTGTCTTCCTGTAGGGCTTAAAGCAACTTAACTCACCCCTCTATCCCTTTTATCCTCATTCTCAGCTCCTTGAAGAGCCCTTATGTGGAGCGGAAACAATCAGCACGGTGATTCCACATAAAACCATTGCTGAATGATAAATTCCAAGAATTGAAATGCTGCTGTATAGTTGCAACATGTCACCTCTGAGGATGGTCTGTTGCAAACATGTGGATGTGTTTTGCATTCTCGCCTTCTCCTCTCATTTTATTTCATTTAATCAGTGCAGTTTACTCGAGCTGTTCTCCCCTTGCTGATTAGACTTGTAATTCTTGCACATATGGTGGTGTTTGTGGAGAAAACATTTCCCTCCTCTCCCCCTCCAACCCCAAATCTGTGAGTCTTTTACTTTGGCTCTGTTCTTATCAAATAATTGCAGCTGTAATTAAAGCACAATGAATCAGCACCAGTCACAGGGTTGAGTTCTTCCTTAAGAAATTACATGTCCAGATGTCTGAGATGGCAGGCAGTTCTAGCATTTAAATAATGTGCCCATGAAGTGCCGCCAACCTGAAGGCAAATCTGTTTTCTACCTTTTGGCAAATAACCGTACAACTGGTATTTTAAAGATGCATTGTTGTTACAGTTTTCATCATAAACTTACGTGACTACCTCCTGTAATGATGTGCTTGCTCACAGTATATCACTTGGACACTTGGTATGTCTGATCTGCATAGAGTCCCCGGTAAATAGAGGGAGACCAAGCTGGAGGTCAAGCTAGGTGGAAGTCTGTACCTGTTGACTTTTAGTGGATGTCTCATCTTTAAAAGAAGTGGTGGTTTCATAGCAAATGAGCTTAGGAAGCGTAATAAAGAAATACTGATGTTTTAACTTAGCCAACAAAAGAGAAGACATTCTAAATGAACCTTGATATACAACTCACTCGATGTAGTGGGTGATGTCTGCCATAAGCGTAATAAAACCATGAGACGCCGGTCTGCTAAACCACCAGTTAAGGACATATTTCAATTTGAAAATTGGATTTGAGAGTTTAAGTCCTTTTCCGAGCACCTGGAAATACATACATAAGAAGTCCCAGGGCTGAACACTGAACTCGTAAGAGAAAACTGGCAGAGGAGAATGAACCACTGTTAGTGTGCCTGATGCAATGAACACCCGACCAGGTCTGTAGTGTTGGTGGCCTGTGGGACTCCAGCCATTTTCCCACACGTGGAGCAAGTATCTGCTTTGCTTTTAAAAGAGTAACAGAATGTGTGGCAATGGCTGGGTCAAGTTTAAGCCTCCTGAGCATTTTGAAATTTTGAAACTAAAATAAAAAAATTAAGTGGCAGTCTGATTCTGATACCAGGGGAAGTGCACTTTTTCTGCAAGGAAATCACTGTTTTCAGCATCACTTGCACTTTCTGATCAGAATGAGGTTTCCCGTGATTGCTGTGTACATAGTTGTCTCTGCTGGATGATACATATCAATTTAATTCACAGTACAGCTGAGTACATTGCTAGTAAATGTTTAAAAGCTCTGAGGATTTTAAAAGTTGCTTGATAATGCACAAAAGTAACTCCCCCCCCCTTCTCTCTCCCCCCCTCCCCTTTCCTCCTGACAGCTATATCTGGCATGATTGTTCCCCCCATGTGAAAGAATTGCCTTGAAGAATTTTATTAATGAAGAGGTTGAATTCTGCTTCAGAGAGAATCTGATACAAGTCCCAGAGTGGAACTTTTTACTCAGGCCTTTTTAAAAATAAAAAAGAGATAAAGAAGAATCTTACAATAACTGCGGATTTTTAAACAAAACAAAAATCACCATCCTTGCAAATACTGAAATTAACAATCTCCAATTGCAAGGTGTTGATTCAAGTTGTCCATCCCAAATACCTGGGAGATATATTTATTGTATGTTGATAAAAAAATCCACTTTTTTTTGGTTTTTTTTTGTTTTTTTTTTTGCGGGGGGGGGGGCTTGGTTTTTTTTTTTTTTTTTTTGCGGGGGTGGGGGCTTGCTTTTATTTCCTTCTGTTTTTTGTGTTTTTTTAAGGCTTGATTTAACTCAACACCATTTGTCTTTTATAAATCATACAATTACACAAGGGACACTAGAGATGAAACTCCACATTTTTAATTTATGATTTTTTTTTTAAAGCTGTGTAAAGAAAAATGAAGTGGTGTCATTTACATACAAGTCTGTATGGGACAGAATAGAAGTGCCAGTTAGTTTCTCGTAGAAGAATTATGGCCATTTAATGAAGGGTCGGCTCATATAGGTTGCTTATCCTGTGGTGACTTGCTAATATGATGCATTTTTAATGTTCTAATTAAATAGATATCACTCCCTAGAAAGCTGGTATTTTTGGACGACGAGGGCAGGATGAGGGGTGGGATTAATAACCTCTGTCTTTAATATCAGGCTAAATAATTGTGTAAATAATGCAACAAGAAAATTTGGTGAAAGGGAAGGTAAAGATGCAAATGGCAAACACATTTCCTCTTGAGCTGAAAATCCAGTGCCTCTAGATATAATGCTAAAACTGCAGAAGTAGATGAGCGTGGCTCTCTCTTTAGCTTATATAGCAGACTCTTTCCAAACGAGTGGCCTTCCTGAAGTTTAGTGTCACCTGAGCTGTGCGTAAAATGCCATTTGGGTTTTGCACAGCCCTCTCGTGACCCAGACTGCGGCCGTCAGGCGTGGGGTGTTTTCAGCGCAGCCCCTCGCCCCTTGACCTGTTTGTTTTTCGGGGGCAGAACGAGAACAGACTCCGGCTGCGGTTCTGCATCCTCACAATCTAAAAGCACACGTTTTCATCAGCCTCCCACCAGGATTGTTCCTGTATCGGTCGACCCTCTCAGTTTGTATCATAATATATTAAGCAACAGGTAACTGCTTTTGAATAGTAAATGGAAACATGAGTTTGGGGGGTGGGGGGTGGGGCTGTTAGGAAGGTTTCAAATCAAAACCATAGCTTCTGTTTTACAAAAATTTTGCTATCATTATCTGGGAAGTGTTCTTAAAAACTATTAGTCAAAGAGGCAGCAAAGCTCTGAAGATGCATTACCTGATATTTTTTCTTTGCTGTTGTGTTTTGTATGTAGTTATAAATACTGTAGATTTTTTGTGATTTTTTGCCAAAGTTGTTGTTCTATTTATACATTTTAATGTCTTAAGACAGTTTTTCAATATCACAAAAAAAGAATTTTACTGCATATTTTGCAAAAAGAGCTCACTACCTTTAGCTTGCACATACTTGCAAAATTAATTAAAGGAAAAAAAAGCTTTTTGTTTCTGTTTTTTGTTTGTTTGTTTTAAAGGGGATTTTGTAAAATATCCATATAAATAATGATTTATCTTTGGAATTTGTACATTGCTTTTTTTCCCCTACCAAGTTTATTTTATTGTGTATGTTTGCTATGTGAAAAGTGCTGATTTGTTTGGTCATTCACCGTTGTATTAGCTGTTTAAATGTGATTTTAAAACATTTCATTTATAGTTTTTTTTTTAGAATTGTTTAAAACCATGCTTCCATTTTTTTTAATTTCCACCCAAAAGCCATTGTCTATTTTTGTATTATTTGTAAGTTAAGAAGTTTTTTCCAATATATGGCAAAAAGTAGCATATTATTCTTGTAGCATTTAGTTATGTAGATTTTAAAAAAAATGTATCCTTTGCTTTTGAGGCTTAACAAAAACTAATGCTGTTTTACTCTATTAATATGCATGGGATTTCTCCTCTTTGGAGTGACGCATTTTTGTGCATTAAATATGGGGAGAAACTTCATAGAACTCAATGAAAATACTTTCTTTCTTAAGTCTGCTTGTATATTTCTCTGTCTTTCACATAAATATAAACCAGCAGATTGGATGCCTTAACAATGCAAATCATATTCATTTCACTTGTACATTGTACTGTGCACCAGAACTGTCAATCATCACTAACATTCTAAGAAAAAAAAAAAGGAATTGAAAAGCACAAAAGAACTGTTTTGTTACCTTAAAACAATATAACTTTTTTCTAGTCGAGCAAGAAATCATTTACAACGATGCTGCAACTGTGCATGCTTCCTGTATGAATTTTGCAATGGTTTTCACTAGAATGTCACAGTGTGATCTTTGGGGGGAAGGGAAGAAAACAGGATTTTTTTTTTTTTCATGGTGAGAAAATAAAAGAAGAGAAAACTGGAAAATGTGAGAGACATCAATTTATTGCTTCTCTGTATTCCAAGCGATTATTCTAATTCACATAGTAAGCAACAGCACGACAATATAATCAAATTTAAAGCCATATTTTGTCCAGTGACACCATCAATTACTCTTGTAGAACTCCACTCAAAGTCATAGCGATTTTGACACCAGTGTTAGCCATCGATGTCTGTAGTCTTCTACGCCAGTGTCCAAAGATCCTTTGACAATGTGCACAATTTTGTTTTGTTGCAGCTATGTATAGTGATCTGATGAATGGGAATTTATAAAAATCTCCCCCGCACCACCCTTATCTTTTACAAAGTAAAAGATGCAGCTGTTTACAGAATATGGCTTTAAGTGGAAACATTCAGATTTCAGTTTTAACAAGGTGAAGCTTCACAATGACTGGATTGCATAAAGTATGCCTATTTCCTCACAGTTGTACTAGGATGCAGCTAAAATGAAGTCATCTCTGAAACTACTAACCTTTCACCTTCTTATCTAAATCTTTTTGAATAGACACACACACTGTACAGTTCTATTGTTAGAGAAACTAACTACTGTAGAGATTGTTATAATTTTTTTGCAGAAATTCAAGCTGTAAAAACTTTTCAACTTTCACAATATTTAATTAAAGTTACTTCCTGTCTGTGAATACAGCTCCTAGTTGTGTGTTTATTTTTCTGCTTCTGCTAGCTAGTAGATGAGAAAAAATAAAATATAGAAGCCAGAGGCTACTGAATTGTCTTTCTGAAATTAAAGGAGAAGCAGAAATGTATGGAATTATGCAGTGAAACATGGCAAATGCTGGTGCACTGAAACTCCTCTTACTCTGTCACTAATGGATTTCAAAGGATCCTCACCCATAATGCTGAATGTTCATCCTGTTATCATTATTTCCATTGTTTTAGTCTATTGATTGCCTGAAAGGCCAACGTATTTTTCTAGCAGATTGAGGGAGCATATCCAGCTTACGTACCCAGTTGCAAAGAGCTGTCTCTCTAAACACGGTGATCATAAAGTGCAAGACAAAGGCATATTGGATCCAGTGCCAGAGATTTAAGTTTTCATCTTGGTATTATTTAAATTAATGGCAACACTTACAGGACCAGGTAGGTCTTAAGTGATCTGCTCAAGGCCAGCTCCAAGAACTGCATCAAAGTGTGCTGAGCTGTAACTAGCTCCTTGACTTGACCACGAAGGAGGCTCCTATAAAGTGTTTCCATTCTGCTACCCTTCGTAAATGACAAATCCATCAGCTACTAAATTGCTTCTAGGCATTTTCATTTCATTCTGTACTCCTCTGGCAGGAGAGGACCATAAGGAGCTTTACCTCTGGCATGTGGAAGGTTGACATAATGGCACTTAACTGGGCATGAAGAGTGGCTGTCATACAGAAGACCTGTATGGGGACAATCAAAACCCTTTAAACACCACACATAATGCAAGGCTCCAAGCGTTTCCAAGGTAGGAATAGGGATGTTGGGGTTGCAGTTTAAATTAAATTAAAATTTACTTTAAAAATTAAATTTACTAAAAACATAAGCAGCTGGAAGTAGCTTCTTGCAATGCAAAGTGTTGGATATCTCTTAAATGTTAGCAGATCCACTCCAGTAGTTGTTAGAGAAAAGAGAGCTGTTGGCAGAGTCAGACCCCAAATGTATTTATTCTGTCAGCACAAGATATCTGTTTCTTCTGTCTGAGATAATTCTCCTGGTTCTCTTTCAAATGGTGTGAATATTGGCAGCTCTCACTGCAGCTGAGGGCTCTATGAGTGCCCAGCTCACTAGAAAAATGTTGGATTACGTGTAGCTGGAAAGCAGTCTTAAAGATTACATTCAGGATGTAGTATTAGGCAACCTGTTCCAGGTGCAGCAGATCCAGAGCTCTGCTTCAGCCTTTTGGATCCAATGAGAATGCTTTTGTCTGAAATTTAATTTCAGCCATATTTTAAAAAAAAAGGGGGGGGGCATTTGAGGGGCATAAGATAGCATGAACCATCAGGCTTCTAGTTCAGACGGATGCTGAAGAAGAATCTGCTAGTCAGCCCCAGTGATGTTCATCTGACAATCCAAACTGAGATCGCCTGGGTGACAGTACTGTAACAGATGATGAATTGCTTTTTGATGCCAGACGAAAACCCTCCAAAACCCAAACCGTGTGTGGACCAGTTGCAGGGTGCACATTCAGGTATGGCTGCAGTGGGACACATAATCCATGATGGGTCATACGCTTAAAGGGAGAGTGTCTTCTGTCATCGCACAGAGAACATGTAGGCATGGGGGCTTAGTGTGACGTGTATAACAGCATGGCTTAGTGCTGCCCTCTAAACTGGTGGCTTCTTTAACTTTTCAGCAATTTTAGTAGTCATTTGGACTGAGCAGTTTGCATCTGGCTGTGGGATTGGTTGTATTTTTGTATGGGCATGCTTCTAATTTTTTATTTATTTTAAAGAAACCTCAGCAAAATGAGCTACCTTCACTGTTAGTTTCCAGGCCTTGTCTGCGTGTCTGCTTATTCCGTTTAGAAGCTGTGTCCATCGGCTCTTGCCACAGCTA